AAAGAGTCAGTAGTGATGTGTTTTTAACTTCCCTAAACCACAGTAGTTCTTACGCCAGGGCCGATTGTGTAAAGAACATAGTATCTTCGGTAAGAGAACAGGTTGTACTTCTACGCTGTACGTGACAAAATCTTGCCAGATTGAAACCTGGCGAAGCTGCAGTTTGGGGCACAAGATATAACCAGCCCAAAATCCTCCACTCAAACACTATTAGGGATCGTGTAAGCGTCACTAAAAGTGATGGATTTTTATATATATAATATTTTGGGGGGGCCCTCATAAGTGAGATGGGATGGTGGGTAAAAGGTATTTAATAATGTTCATAGTTGTTCCTACCAAAAAATATGTTTAGATTTAATGAATCAATCATCGTAAAGATCACTCTGCTCGTTGGAGGAGATTAAGTGGATAGGATTTGTGTGCAGAGTTCATTCTTGAAAGCAATTTCACACGCACCGTTTGTCTGCCTGTCTGTGTCTGTAACACTTGCGTACGCGCGCGCGCGCACACGCACGCACACACACACACACACACACAGACACACACACACACACACACACACACACACACACACACACACACACACACACACACACACACACACACACACACACACACGCACGCGCACACACACACACACACACACACACACACACACACACACACACACACACACACACACACACACACACACACCTCCTTGTCCTGGGCATGTTGAGAGAGGGTTGATGAGTAGTATTTTATGAGGGAGGTTCGTGCCTGGTGCCGGTTAGTGGAGATCGCGGTGTCTAGCCTGTGTTCAGGAAGGTCCGTGTCTAGTGCGTGTTGAAGGAGGCCCGTGTCTGGTGCTTATTAAGGGAGGTCCGTGTCTAATGTGTGCTGAAGGAGGTCTGTGACGAGGGCACATAGAGAGAGGTCGCCGTGTCAAGTCTGTGATCATTGAGGGAGGCCCGTGTCTAGTTAGTATTGACGGAGGTTCGTGTTTAGCCTGTGTTGAAGAAGCGTCAAATACACCATAGTTCAGAGAGATATAGAATATCTCTATCATAGAAATTTGTGACAGGAATAATTTCGTCTAAGACGGCTCAGATTAGAAACTCATCGGAGACAATTCCCGAACTATTCTACTTTCCCTGTTTTGGTTTTTCTTGAGCAACGTTTATTTCTTGTATATGTAGTTGATGTAACTGTTCCGTTTGGTGTTGTTTAGCAACTGCTCCATCTGTTTAGCATACAGGAAGTTGCTTAATGTTTGTCCTTTGTGGGGTGACAGTTACAATACGGTCAGTCTTGTCACTGTCACTTCATCTTGTCACTTGTCACTAGAAGAGATGTGTATCAAATACTGCAAAACAAAAACGGAAACCTTAAGTGATCTGAACACCTGTGGATTACCGTTGTGAGCAGCGTGGCAAAGGTTTAGTGCCCGTTGTATTAATGTTCATCGGCCCAGTTGACTAATTCCATTGTGCCTGGTGCAGCAAGTGTTCCAGTGAAGTCTACTGAAATCAATTCATATTACACCGTGTAAAATCGTCTAGTGATCAGTGTAGAAAATTACAAGGGACTACCAATTTTGTCAATTTCTTTCAGTTTATTACTACGAAAGTTATTACTGTAGCAATGCCTTACGGTTTTGCCTAGTAATTTACCTCATTCCATAAGTATTAATGCCCCTGTTCCTAGTTTATCAATGTTCTAGTACCTATCATGGTTGTGTTCCAGTGTCATGTTCAATGAGATCCTAGTGCTTATTGCAGTACCTGCTTAATGAATACTGCAACAACGCCTTATTGAGCCGAAAAATTTTGTATGAAATGCATCGAAATCATAACAAATATATATAATTTAGCATAAAGAACAATAGGGTCGAGTTTCTAATCGTGGTGTACGACTTCATAGCCTCTCAGCCAACAGCATCAGAATGGGTTTGTGGTTTATGATAAAATAATTAAATTAAAGTCCTGTATAATTATGTCCTTGTGCTAAAGCTGTAATGCTGGAGAATATTGTGCCCAATGACTGATGAGTTAATACCCCAGTGCTGCAATGCCCTAGTTCATGGTGCAATAATGCCGTAAAATACTCAGTGCAGTAACATCCTGGGGTGGTCGACAACCTCTTTGAAGTGCGTTCCAAAACCGCCAAATCTTTGATGAAAAAATTTCTCGCGTGCCAACCGAAATTTTGGGAAACTTTATTATTTTTTAGTGTCCTTTAAGTATTGGGAGAACCGTTCAAATCATCACAGATCACACTAGAGCAGTAAAGTCAAAGGATATTATAAGAGAGATTATTGTAACGCATGTAACATTTACAATAATTGTAAATCTTATATGAGTTACAACCTTACTCATGTACTTACATGAAAATGTACAATTTTGTGGCAGAATTTTTTACTTCAAGGTCGTTCTTCCCTGTTAAAAGCGTGGATAATTTTTATTAGCCTTTAAATGCAGTTCTCGCTGCCCACAATTTAAAGTTGTGTTTTTAACATCAGCAAAAGAGTTGAATTCTATTATTTATTATTTCAAATCAATGAGCCATAAGTTTATGTTTTCCCAATACATCACAGTACCCAATCTCAAAACCACTTTACTTGGCCAAAACCCAGCAAAATAAAATAAAACTAAAGTAATTATTTTATTAATTCTTAATCCCTAATGAGTAATAACTAAAAATTACACAACTCAGAAAACCTGATCATAATTACTCTCTGCATACACCTACCAAGTTTTATAAAAATCGATTCGTGAGTAAATAAACCAAAAATCAGTACAATTATAAACCTGCCTACATGATGGTAAGGGAGCTATGCGACGTCTGGACAATTGGCGAATGACGCAACAATTGCCACAACTTGTGCGTCAGTCTCATGCGTAGACACATGGCGTGGAAATATGATTGTTTGTTTCATTTCCATTTTACCTATTATTACTAAAACAGTTGTCTGTGTTTGTTTCCTTATTGCAACTTATTTGCTTGATAAAATTTTATTTTATTAAGTTAAAATATAGAACACAGTGAACACAGTGAAGTTGGATATTTACTTATTGCATTATTTTTAAAGGTGAGCCCAAGGTTTCGAATACCAAAAATGTCATTTGCGTACCAGATTTGGCACGCGAGCCATGGGTTCCCCACCCCTTCTTCTTGATGTTATCTTGGGATGATTTTGGGGCTTATCGTCCCCGCGGCCCGGTCCTCGACCAGGCCTATATTTTGTTACACACCCCCAGGAAGCAGCCCGTAGTAACTGTCTAAGTTCCAGGTACCTGTTTACTGATAGGTGAACAGACGCATCAGGGTGAAAGAATCTCGTATACACGTTACTTACAGAGCCCTTGTATAAACCTATACTTATGGAGCCCCTCGTATATGTACACACACAAACATATATATATATATATATATATATATATATATATATATATATATATATATATTTATATATATACATTCCTTTTTTAAGCTTATGTAAAGAATGTCGTTTATACGTCGTTTACTTAAGCTTATATGAAGAATGTTGTCTAATTCTCGTTATCATTAGAACCTAAAAAAATATTGAGATCAATATAATACGGATGTGTTGACCTTTTGCAGGAACTTTAATTGGTTAAAGTCATCACACTTCAAGGTAAAGTCATCCTTTTCTCACACTTAATGCATTGCCATTTTGAAGCAATGTAAAAATATTTGGGTTCTTCGCTAATATTAAAAGCACCGTAATATTGACGATTCAACGGACTCTGAAGACCATCGGTCTCCATAGTACAACGTGTATACGGTGTCTCATGTTTATACTCTAATATAATTATACTCGCCTAGTTGTGCTTGCGGGGGTTGAGCTTCGGCTCTCGGGTCCCGCCTCTCAACTGTCACTCAATTAGTGTACTCGTTCTTTAGCCTATTGGGTTCTATCATATCTATATTTGAAGCTATGCATGGAATCAGCCTCCACCACATCACTGCCAAATGCATTCCATTTATTAACTACTCTAACACTGAAAAAATCATTCAAATGTCTCTGTTGCTCATTAGGGAACTCAGAATTCACAATCGACTTGAGAATGGTCCAGGACGGATCGAAACGTCGTCGTCTCTTTACTTTCTAGTGTGTGGTCTGGTCAACATTTTTCAGCCACGTTATTGTGACTCCTCGTCTGCATAGGGAACTCAGTTTCCACGTGTGTCCCCTTGTGCGAATACCACCCGTGTCAATTCCTCTGTGAATTGTTTATGTGATAATCATGCCTTCCCTAACTGTTCTGTCTCCCAGAGACGTGAGGTTGCTTTCTTTCCTCAGCTTTTCTTCGAGACTCATACCTCATAGTTCTGGAACTCGTCTAGTGACATACTTCTGAACCTTCTCTAACTTCGCCTCATGCTTGACTCGCTTTGTGCTCTCTGCTCGAGTCACATACTTTAACACCGGTCAGAGGTATTTGATGTACAACGTTCTATATTGTTGCTTATGCAGAGTTCTGGTGTGTGTGTGTGTGTGTGCGTGCTTATATATCTAACTACTAACCTTCTTCAGAGATGCAGTTCACATAAACTGTCCAAAATCCAGGTACATATTTGCCGCTAGGTGAACAGAGCCATGAGGTGAAAAGAAGCTGGCAATTTGTTTACGCTCCAGCCAGCCAGGATTCATAATGGCCGGGCGCCTTCTCTTGATAGTTCCCTTCCTTTCCAGCCTGGACTCGAACCTGAACCAATGGCTCAGAATGAACGTCGGTCACAGCTTGATTACGGAACTAACTCTCTCTCTCTCTCTCTCTCTCTCTCTCTCTCTCTCTCTCTCTCTCTCTCTCTCTCTCTCTCACACACACACAAAAAAAAAACAGAAGGATCCGTCGGACTGTATATCAACTCAAGAAAAAAGTGTTTCAGGCACCACTCAGGCAGTAACTCTTTTTCTTTCTGTCTGTCTTGCATATGCTAATTCAGCTCAGACGATATTTGCAAACTTTTGTTGGTACTAGACCCAGTTCTTTCACCAGTTTACCAAGACATGAATAACTCTTGGCAGGATGAACGAGTTTACTTCAGACGGTAAATGCACTGCTGTCCGGCGAGTCAGTCGACGGAACCTCGACAACACAGACGCTGACCGTAATCCGACGCACATTTTTTCATGCGATTTCTGAGGTGTATTGAAAAGCTGCGGTGCTGGTCTGTGATTGGGTTTCAGGTGTTGGTTGGTTGTGGTATTGAATATGTGGGGGGTTGGGGGAGTTGGGGAGAAGAATCGGTGGTTACAGTGGTTGTGGTGTTAGTTGTCCCTACATAACAAGGGTTACTAAACAGTGACTACTGGTGAGTGAAGACTAGCTCTATATGTCCCCCACTTACTATACCCATGTTTGATTTGATGCGTTTGATTTTAAATCTATTTAGCATCGCGTTATTGGACGTATCTTGCCAATTGATTTTGAGTGTACGAGGCTTCAATGTCTTTACAATTATACCATTTTTGCTTCTCTAATTTATTTACCAACCTTTTGTAAGGCAACATTCTTGCTCCTCTTTTGGATATATTGTCACTGAGCTCTCTTAAGCTTCTTAGTAACTGCTTGTCCCAGTTAATATCATTCGTGTTGCCTTTCTTTCACAAAGTTGATCATCACCAGGCGTGTCATTATTCTCAAACTCTTCGGGCTCAGTAGTATAGTTGGGCTCGTTCTCGACTGACAGTCGGGAATCCCGGGTTCCAGTCTCTAGCGGGAGAGAAATGCTTTAGCACATTTCTTTTCATCTAATTCTTTTCTTTCATCTAATTCAATTCCAGCAGTAAATAGATACCCGAGAGTTTAGCAACCATTGTGGAGTTGAATTCTAGAGTAGTAGTAGTAGAATGTAGTAGTAGTAGTATGATATAAACCTAAAGTTAAGTGACAGTAGAATGAAAGTAGTAGAACGATATAAACCTAATATTCGACGATAATCACACGCGCCGACGATCGTATGAGACTTTGTACGCTTGTGGCTGGGTTCATTCGGGAGGTGACACCAGTAATCAACAACCAGATGAATTCGACTTCGAGCATGCAGCTGTTCCGTGGGCCTTCATTGATCCAGAAGGTAGATGTAGCACCTAGCAATAGAGAAGCCTGAGTCAGGCAACAGTCACCTCACACTATCCTCTGGCGTTCGCTTCAATTAAGGAGGTTAGGTGAAGCGTAGAGTGGGGTGTACCCACACTTATAAATATCTAGATTTCTCCTTGCAAGCATTACAGGCTATTCATGCTCGTGCCACTTCTTGGATGGCGTAATCTTCATCATTCAGTCATCTTGTAAGCACAGACCCGCTCCTGTGCCAGGTAAGTCCCCTCCGGGCTCACGTAACATAGCCCGTGCTACTTGGAACTTTTGTTCCGAGAATCTGAATCTAAAACAACAACATTGCAAGCTCAATATACCTGAGTTAGTGCAACAGAGTGTATTTCTGAAGATGTCACATTACTGACGAAACATCGAACAATAAAAATGGAAAGATTAAGTGATCTAGAGTTTTTCCACCCTCCAGATGGTAGAAGATATTTGCGTAAAATGATCCAAAATAAATTTAATTAGAGTCTCTGTGCTGTTGTGTTTCATGTCATGTGTATTAGAGAAAACCTGCTCCTAATATATTATATATATATATATATATATATATATATATATATATATATATATATATATATATATATATATATATTATATTATATTAGACCGATGGTATAATCCTGAACCTAGAACAGAAACCACAATACCTCCAATAAAATTATATTACAAATCAACCATGCATTGACCAATATATGCAAGATCAAATAAGCATAAAATACTAACGAGATATTAATAAATATATTGAGGTATCAAGATATCTTGAGATATCAAGATATCTTGTGTGTGTGTGTGTGTGTGTGTGTGTGTGTGTGTGTGTGTGTAAATAATTGTATTATTTAATACAAATAATAGTGTTCTTCTGGTCATATATATTGAGTATTATCAGGCAGTTGTGAGTCCTGTTGTCTGTTTGCAATCCCTTGAGAGAACAGAAGTGCTTGTCTAACCTGCTGAGAAAAAACTGAGGTTGTGCAAAAGCCCAGAGAGCTGCAGGAGATGTGCAATAGTTTTGCAAGTTGATAAAAGCGTGTGATTCATCAGACTTTTCAAAATGCTTGAAATTCTCCCCAGATCTTGTGAGTCAGCGAGTTTTTAATAATTCGATTTGCTGAAGTTGAGGAAACGCCATTTCTTCTATATATTTAGAATCTTTTTTTGTTTGTTTTTCGTTTACTCTCCAGAAAAGTCTCTATATATGTCTTTTTGAGACAGATATTTGGCATTTGCTTCTTCCTGTTTTTACATATATTTTCATGCTGGGTAATTTGTTAATTTTTTTTACACTTTCAATCTTTCGGTTCTGATTTATTGATATTGAGATCTAGCGGTTTATTCCTTATGCTTTATTAAGAGCTGAAGTCTGAACCGGCTTGGTTGAGAGCTCACGAAGTGACCTTCTTGACTGAGAGTTGACGTCGTTACCAGCTTGGATCAGAGACGACCTCGGAGTCCTGCAATCTGGGCAATAATAACCTTTTACACCCTTGATGCAAGTGTTGCTCATTGACAATAGCATCTGTAGACCTTAGTTGCAATTGTTAAAAAAACGCATTCTACTTCCTTTGTGGCTTTAGGACAATACCACCTAACGCAGTTCTCGTTACAAGAAGTGCTCTTAGGGGCAATAATTCCTTCCGTGGACCTATGTTGCAAGTGTATCTGCTGCAATAACACCTCCCGTAGACCTTTGTGGCAAGTGTTGTAACTACTGCAATAACACCCCACAGACAGTGTTGCAAGTGTTGTTCTGCGGGCAATACCAGCTGATGATGCTTTTTGTTGGGCTAAATTGTCTCCCTTTCATATTGCAAAGAGTTGCACTGTTTTCATTATTGGAACACTCGACGAGGCGTTAGTCATGACCATGAATTGGGGGACGGACCTTGTTTACTGTGGCAGCATTGATCTCTCTCTCTCTCTCTCTCTCTCTCTCTCTCTCTCTCTCTCTCTCTCTCTCTCTCTCTCTCTCTCTCTCTCTCTCTTTCCCCTAAAGAGCAACGCAACGAATAAATATACAACCACAGTTATTAATCAGCAACTAATATCGAAGCAAAACTTATCCATCACGTCGACAAAAATGTATAAAATTGGCGCAGGGCTTCACTAACTAGAGAAACATTTTAATATTTTACGTTGAGTGATGCTCACTGAATATCGAAAACACACACACACACACACACACACACACACACACACACACACACACACACACACACACACACACACACACACACATACACAGACATACCGGGCAGGTGGCTGAGTGGACAGCGCTCTAGACTCGTGGACCCCCAGGGTTCGATCCGCGGCACCGCTGTAAAAAAATGGGCAGAGTTTCCTTTACCTTGATGCTCCTGTTACCTAGCAGTAAATAGGTACCTGAGAGTTAGACAGCTGCTTCGGCCTGCTTCATGTGTGTCTGTGTGTGTGTGTGTGCTCACCTAATTGTGCTGGCGGGGGTTGAGCTCTCGCTCTGCACAAGGCCTATTGGCCTGTACTTCCTCTTGCTGCTTCCATATTGGTTCGGGGTCTTGAAGTAGGTAGAATATAATTGTGCATTAATTGGCTAACGATTGCTGGCGTTGAGCAATCAAACACCAGCAATCAACAGCCAATTAATGCATAACTATATTCTACCCACTTCAAGACTCCGTCCCAATATAGAAGTATCAAGAGGAAGTATCGGCCAATAGGCCCTCTGCAGCTACTTCCATTTTTATGCTTTCATATCCAACTAATACCCATTGTTTCGTGTTCTCTCTTGTATTTGTCACAAGTTTGTTCACCACATCCAAAACTGTTTCACCATATCACCTCACCCAAATGCGAGTTTAAGTAAGACGGATAAACTGTTTAGTGTTAGGACAAGTAAGACTCTGTTTAGTGTTTTCAGGTTACAGTTGTGTGTGTAAACTGAAGTCTTTGAAAATGTTATAAGTTATTACGAAACGCATTCAAGCGTCGCGTCAGACTAGAAATAAAAATGAATTTTGGAGAATTGATTTTTCAATTACCATCGTGAGTAAAAAAAAAATAAGAAATATTGAGAAAATTCGTGTTAGAATTATTAATCTCACTCTTTCGGTCATATTTAATAATATATATATATGTATGTATATACGTAGTTTAAACAATGTTTGGAAGTATTGAAAACTTTTCGATCTTTTTTGGTAATATCTGGCTGCTAAGTGAGTTTTCACTGAAAAATCATTTCCATGAGTATTAAAATTCAAAACGTGC